ATAAATAAAGAACAGGAGAGCATAGTGTGGATGCTTTACAGCATCCACACAAATATCTTCCTTCAACATCAGAACAAAGGATGAGCCTGAGATAGAGAGAGTGCGAGAGAGAGAGTGTGAGAGAGAGAGAGTGCGAGAGAGCGAGAGAGAGCTATGACTCATCCTTGGTCACAGAGTGAAGCAGAGGGTCGTAGTTTTTATGGAAAGTGGACCAAGCCGTCCTCACCCGGGCAGTAAGCTCTGTGAACATGTGAGCGTCAGTCAGCAGAGACAGCTCCTCCTGGGCACCAGATTTTCTGAATAGTTCACACAACAAATCCGCATTTATAAGGATAGCTCAGGTAAGATATATGGGTAAATATAGCACATTAAATGTCTCTGGATTAACTCTTATTCATTTCTTTTGTTTCAGTCCTAAGGATTGCAAATCCAGGGGGGTGTTGACAGAATCTTTAAGCTCTTAAACTATTTTGCAACTGTTTTGGCTCAGTTGTCAGTGTTAAAATCTCTTACAGAGAAGAGCCAAAATGACATCCCCTGTGAACACAAAATGTTGTCTTTACATACAAAGTGCAAAGCACTAAATCACATGTTCAGCACATGTTTTAATGTTTATTACTAAACACACAAATCATACCATCAGTGCAGTATGTGTTAGCAGATATTACTGCTTTTATAAGATTCATGTAGGATGTACTGTACTGTAGTAATGAATGTGTGTGTTTACATTTTCTTGCAAACAGCGTATTTTGTTGTACTTTTTGCAAGTACCCATGTTTTTACATGCATGGGTGCCACTGAGTGCAGCAGTCACATTGCTTTTTGTATAAATGTGCACAAATGTAGAGATGTGTACACTTCTCCTTTTGTCAGTTTCAGTCTGTCTGTGTGTGTCTGTGGGAGTGCAGTTGTTGTGGGTGCTGTTGTTGTCATGAGATATTCAGGTCCCTCATGCTCGGGGTGCATTGGTCACATGTTAACTCTAACAGTGGACTGTAGGTCTGCTAAGGAGAAAGAAAAGGGCCTTTTATAAGCCTTATATAAAATCATTCTCAGAGAGAAGGGCTTGATATGAAAACTGCTTAACAATCCAACCCAGTGTTGGATCTTAAGAAAACCATTTACCCATATAAAGTGCATGAGAGAAGGCACATGCATTGACCATAGAATTGATAAAGATACTGACATTTAACCTGTGACTATGCCCATATTTAAAAATGAAATTTATGGACACCAGCACATATACAGTGGCAGCCAGTGTTGCATTAAAACTCTGTATACTGTTAGGAAAGCATGGAAATGTAATGTAATTATAATAATGATTTTCTGCATGCCAAATATAGCTGAGTCACTTTTGGGGAAACAAAATAGATATGGGTCACATTATCTTTCCACATAGTGCATCATGATTCACTCACTAACTACAGTTATCACCATTTGCATGCTAGAGGAACCAAAGTAACATTTAAAATGTCAGGCCAGTTTCTTTCAGCTGAGAGTTTGTTTGAGGAAGTAATCCATGCTTTTACCTCATCTCGACTTGGTTATTGCAGTGCATTATATACAGGTATCAGCTAGTCCTCACGCTGTCGCCTTCAGCTTGTCCAGAGCACTACGGTCCTCTGACCAGATGCTCTTGGTCATCCCCAGACTAAAACTCAAAGGGACCGTGCTTTTGCGGTCCTGGCCCCCCCAGCTGTGGAACACTTTACCCCTCCTCATTACAACTGTCCCATCACTGGCAACTTTCACATCTCAATTAAAAACCTACTTTTTTCTCCTTGGCTTTTAATCCTCCTGGAGATATTCTTGTTATTGTTATTTAATTTTTTATGTATGTGTGAAGTTCTGTATGTTATTTGTATTTTTTTGTGGCATCAGTGTAGAATGTTTCTCCTGACCTTCAGGTGCCTACCAGTCTGCTTCAAGCTGGGAGTAGAGGATCTGTTTAGGAAGCTATGAGTATGGCATTCTTACTAAAAAGCCAGTCCATCTGAGTTTGTGGGATTGAAGTTATTTGCATCATCTTACACATTTTATTTTTACTAACTGATGTACAGTCTTGTGTAGGTTGTCCATGTCTCCACTTATAGAGTGGTAAGAACAGCTGTCTGCTAAACAAGCAGTTAAGTTCTTACTGACTGTGTCCTGGCTCGCAAGCACTCTACTACTGAGATTTGCAAAGGTCAGTGATGAATTTCTATGTGGATGTCTAGAGTAAAGGAGGCTGCCAAACTAGGGAGGTGGTCCACATTCTCAAGCCTGATGTCGTCACTGTGTAGTAGTGGTGGGGAAGCAGTGGCCTCTGGGAGAGCTGCTGTCTTTCATGGCCGGTACTGTAGATCCTCTTCTGAATGGGTGAAGACCTTGGACTTGCCCTTACTTCTGGTTACACCAAAGTGCCTACCATCAAAAATCATACAGCTACAGTTCCACTCTTGTTTTAACATCTGTAGCAGACAGTAGTGCCTTGTGTTCATTTGAACTGCCAGCTTAACGTTAGCCTGGTTACTCAAAACAGTGGATTTAGTGTTAAGGTAGTCTTTAGGAAAACCTAATGGAGATGCACCTCAGCCATTCATCTGGTCTATAAAGGTTACAGGCTCTTCACATCTGGCAATCTACTTCATAATGTGATGAGCCTGCCAAAATGAAACACTGAGCTTCTGACTGAATCCATGCAGTCACACTCACTTATACACACACACACACACACACACACACACACACACACACACAGCAGCTCAGCCCCATTTTGTATTTCTCTCTTCTTTCCTTTTTCCCTCGTCTTTCTTGCTCATCTACAGTACAAGCACACACTGCCCTCCCTTCCTGACTTGTGATAGGCTGTTTGCCGCTCTGAGCAGAGCTGTTTCAGCTACAGCTCGAGTTGGAAAAACTGGCCACAGATGCATGTGACATCTACTACCCACACAGTTCAGGACTCTCCTCCAGCTGTGTGCATGTGTTTGTGTGTGGGAAACCAGAGAAAAGAGGAAGTGTTTGAGATTTGTCTGGACCTCTGGAGCAGCCTGAGTCGATGACACTAATGGTGATGAAGAAGCAGCTGCTGTTGACGGACTGGGGGTGTTGTGTTGTCTACACTGGTCTTGGATACCATGAGTAATTTAATAGAATTGTGTTTTCTGGAGGGATTTACACTTCTGCCTGTGTATGTGTTTGAGCCAGGAAGGTGTTGAGATGAAGCATGTCAAACATGTTATAGGTAATGTTCACACACACACACACACACACACACACACACACACACACACACACACACACACACACTATAAAACCTATATTGACATATTTAGTGTGGCATCACTTCACTTCTCACAACTTCCTTAGTGTCTCTTTCTGTCACAGTCCTTTAAAAGCAGTTAAAATTATTTCTAGCAGTAGATGTACTGTGTAAATATTTAGACTTTATAATGTATACATACATTGTCTTATTCCTATGGACACATAGATCTGTTGCATGTCATACATCTGTCTGTCTGCCTGGTGGCATCTTTTTTCCATTTCACCAGCAGAGGGACTATAGCACAGCTACACTGCACACAGGGCCTTGTGTAGCATTGTATAGTATTGTGTAATAAATGTTTTTGTGCAGTATTGCCTGGGATAAATAAACAGACTTAATGAGGTTCAAGGAGAATACAAGTAAATAAACAAACATCTTAATATGCTACATAAAACAGAAAACACAAACAAAGAGACAATACAACCAAATACACAAAAGATGGGGGTCAGGCGACACCACATATTTGTTGCCATGGTTTGTGGATCATTGAAATATCAGTGTTATCTGGGGTGTTGGAAAATTAGCAAATGCTTTACAGTATGCCTGGCTGCTATGATTACAGGGGACGCACTGCGTAGGACATGCACAACTTAAAAGATGACATTGTGTTCATTAGGTGTGAATCAATATATATGTATTGATAATAAAAAACATTTTGATTAAGAAAGGTGAGTTTGATGGATTGCTAACATACTGGCGGACTTGCCAGGTCCGATGTCAGCAAGATTTTCCACTGAGGAAACGGATCTGCTCATCTGCAAGGTGAAGGCACATGATCACTGAAGGGGATGTGAGGTTACACACTGATTGGATAATTGCATGTAACGGCCAAAACACAGCACTGCTTCATGAGGAGATCAAGTACAGCCCTTTTACTGGTTGCAAGGAGCTTGAACCACCTTTCCTAGTCGTCAAATTAAACGTGGACACACCCAAACACCACTTGCACTAATACATCTTGATCAGACATTGTGGATCCTGAAAATGGGCCCCTTTGTCACACTGAGAATGTCCTAGCTTTTCGAGAGACCCTTGAGGGTTTCCAGCTTTCCTCACGGAACCATATGACAGCTATCTAGCTTGCAGCAAATGGTGGCAGTCCAAGACTTCTGCAGAAACCTGTGCATGTTACTCCCTCAATGTTAGAGTAAACTTAATGTCCAAATTAAGCATCATGGTTCCATTAACATGTTTACTGCTTATACAACAACTTCCTGCACCTGCCCTCTGCCTCTTCTGTTCACTGTCAGTTTCTACAAACACAGTTTCTG